TCTTTTACAGAAAATGAGATATATAGGCTCAAAGTGGACGATCCGGGTGTCGTTCTATTAGAGGTTTTACGGTATATCACACATGACGAGTAGTGGTATTTTGATGCCAGGTTTTGGAATTTTTTAGAAGTCACAAGACAATTTTTGCAGCAGAAAAAAGTTTCAGAGATACGATCTCATAGGTTTAGACACCGCCCACTTTTTCTCGTGATCATTTTTCAGACATTCTGAACTAGTTCGATTACCCCCGAATAATCGAATTCCACACACATTTTCTTATTCTCTTAGCTGAATTTTTTTCCTTTTTTTTCCGGAAGGATCTATCTTCCAGAATCCCATTTAATCTCCACGTCATAGACAATGATCACATAAAAGAAACGAAACGTTGCTGAAGGAAAAATTCTCTGCAAAAGCAGCAGTAGAAAACATCCCCATCATTTTTTGTTCGTTTTGCAATCGGATTAACGTAGTCTCTCCACAGAGGGAATAATTTCCTTTTTTCCTTTTTTCCTCCCACCATTCTCTTGCCGGTCTATCCCATGAAAATTGGTCGAAAAAATCTCGCAGAGTTTTAGCGAGACATTCAAAATTAGAGAAAAAAATTGATTTAAAAATTGAAAAACCTTAAAAATTCGCTTCAAAAGGCGACAAATCTCAATTCCTGTCTACTTCTGGAATAAATTTTTGAATTATCACTAAAACTGAAAATTCTAGGCCACTTATGTAAATGTGTCAGAAATGATTAACGGTGAGTTTTCAGTATTGGCGGGAATGCAAAAAAAGATTCCAGAACCTTCGGAAAAGAGACGAGAACTGAAATTGTTTGGTTTTTTACTTTTTGAGCAATTTTTGCTTCTAGAACTTACTCTAGCCAATCCAATTTCAATCATTCTGATTGATTTTCAATCATTCTGATTGATTTTCAATCATTCTGATTGATTTTGAAATCATCTAGAAATCAAAAACAATCTTTCTTATCACACTGTTTCAAATCTTGGATTCCTCATCTTCCAGCTCCTCTTCCAACTTTTACGATCCATTCTTCAGTGAGAATCTTCACCACAAAAAATTCCAAACCCATTTTGAAACGCATGGGCAAGACTTCCCGTTTGTGTCAGCAAACAGTCGAAAAAAGACAGAAAGAAATGAGTCAGAGTGTCGAAAATATTAACGGCACGAGAGGCGACGACGACGACACAGCATTGTTTTTTGGGGGGTGTTTTCAGCAGCATTTCTCTTGTTTTTCTTTGTTCTGTTTTAAAAAGCAAAGAGTACGATTTTATTCACTTCAGTCAGTAGGTTCGATTTTCAGGGTTCAGTTGTTTAGAGGGCTCAAATTTTAGATATTTTAAGAGTCGTCATGACATCAATTGGGTAGTCAACTAGAAAAGGGCAAATTTTTGATTTTTTGAATATCGTCATTTTTCGGATATTTTCGGATAAACAACAGATTTCTAATGTTTCGTAAGAGATCTGGGAAAATATGTGTCAACAAATCGGTGCCACGTGGGACTAAATTTTGTACAGACTATCAGCAAACTGATGCACCTTCGGCGCGATTTAACCTAGTTGTTTATTGGCCCGTCGCTTCGCTTCTCACATTTTCTTGAACGGTCACGTTAATGTTTATTTTTCAAGCTTTTTAAAAGTCGACAGTCTGACAAGGGGACCAACAGACGCGTGTAGCGTTTTATATGTTATCTATTCAAAATAATCGCGCGAGTGAACGAGTAAAAATGTCTGCGTCTTTACAGCGCCTCTACATAAATAAACGTACAGTAATCAGGGGATCCCACAAAACCTGGGAAAAAATTGGGCGGAACTTAGAAAATGTGAAAAAATACCCAAATATAGCAATTTTGGCACTGAAAATATTCAGTTTTTAGGTCGATAAGTTGTCAAAATTTTTATTTAATTTTTGTTTGGTTTTACTGATCCTTTAATTTTTTCCGATTTTTCTAGGTATTTTTTCAAATGTTTTCTTCAAATTTTCCAATTTTTGATCTACCCAAACGGCAACCATTTTCCTAGACAGATTTTTTGTCTTTTTCATTTTTCTCTGTCCCATCTGTATCATTTCGTACCAATCACCTCTTCAAGACGCACAGCTGCATCTCTTCTTTTTTTCTCTGAAATGTACTTTTTCGAGTAGCGCAGCTGCTCATTGTGACAGTCTCGAGCAACAGGTGTCCCAGAGGGGCGGAGCTTATCATATTTTACAATTTTTTGCCTCTTCAAACTCTTGAAAATCTTCATATTTTCCTATTTTTAAGAAAAAAAAATTTTCTAGCTTTTTCCCTCGCCATCCATCGGTCCTCCAGAGCGACGACGTCAAGTCCGACAACATAATAAATCCACGTCGTCATCATGCGGGAGTACAAAATCGTCGTTTTGGGATCGGGAGGAGTCGGAAAGTCGGCGTTGACCGTGCAGTTTGTTCAAGGCATTTTCGTCGAGAAGTACGATCCAACGATTGAGGACAGCTACAGAAAAGTGAGTGGCGCTTCTAGAATCTTCTAGAAGCTTTGTGATTCGGCGGGAATTTAAAAAAAAGAAAAGAAAAATAGCATTTTGCTGCGGCCGCAACAGCCAAAAACTCTCGATTTTTCTAGGTCATTTGCTTGTCCACGTAGATTCCTTAGCCAGCTAATAGAGATCCTTGTCGTAAATACCAGGCGCCTTTAACGTTGAAGCGATTTACGAGCTCGAAATTAAAGGCCCATCGAGTTTCCTGCAAGAGCCTCGCTGAGCGGACTTTGGAATCCACGTGGACAAGCAAATGACCTAGAAATTTTCAGAATTTTTAGCGGCCTCAACAAATTGCAAGTTTTGCTTCTTTCTGAAAAACCGCAAAAAGCTTTCCCGTCGAGAACAACGGTAATTTACTGTAGCAATTCTACAGGAGTATTACGGTTGAGCGCATTTTCACGACGATCCCGAAAGAAACACTGTGATTAGGCGGGAAATTCAAAATTTCAATTTTTGCAGCAAGTGGAAGTCGATGGTCAACAATGCATGCTGGAGATTCTGGACACGGCCGGCACGGAACAGTTCACAGCGATGCGTGATTTGTACATGAAGAACGGACAGGGATTCGTGCTCGTTTATTCCATCACAGCACAATCGACATTTAACGATTTGATGGATCTTCGTGATCAGATTCTTCGCGTTAAGGACACTGATGAGGTAGGCGAAGAGCTTATTGGAAAAGGGATCTGTTATAGTTCCTTTTTAAATCATAATTCTCTAATCATCCAAATTTGATGTGATAGCCCTCGATGAGTGCTACAAACATGATAATATTTAGACAATTGTATCTTGCCCATGAACAAAGTTACAGGGTCACAAAGCTGTGATCGCGTAGCTCAGACGGTGTTCGGCTTTTAACATTGCTCATAGACAAGAAAACTAAATTCATGCCTAGTTCCAGGTTCCAATGATTCTGGTAGGCAACAAGTGTGATTTGGAGGACGAGCGTGTCGTTGGCAAAGATCAGGGACAGAATCTCGCCAGGCAGTTTGGATCAGCGTTCCTGGAGACGTCAGCCAAAGCGAAGATCAACGTTAGCGAGGTAAGAGGCGATGCCGATTGATTGCCACGTGGCTTCTTCAAAATCTTAAAAAATAGAGGCAGCTGAAAACCCAAAAAATTAAAAGTCCCACGTGGCTACGAAAGAGAACCGAAGCCAAAACTTTGAGCTCCATTATCTGGGTCTCTATCAAAGATATTAAAACTCTGTCAACTGATAAAATGCTTATCATAATATCACCAGCATTTTATCAGTTGGCAGATTTTCTGTATCTCTTATAGAGACCGAGATAATTGAGCTCAAAATTTCAAGTATTCCAAATTTTCGAAAAATTGGAATTTTGAAATATGATGGTGGCCTAGAAAACTCAACTCTTAAAATTGGGCCACTATGGTAAATGGCCTAGAAAAAACATCAGGTATCCCGCTGTTTCTAGGTCATAGAAGTTGGTTGCCTAGAAAAATCTACTTGGGAATGTTAGGCCACCATGTTAAATCGATCTAGAAATTACGCCAAATGAATATCGGGTCATTTCTAGGTCATACAAGTTCCTAGAAAAGTGAAAGTGTCCTAGAAAAGTGAAATTGCAAAGTTAGGCCACCATGTTAAATAACCTAAAACAGATGAGCTGCATGTTAGAACAATTCTGGACCATCAGCTACGGCGGCTTAGAAAAGGCTATGCTGAGAAGGTTAGGCCACTCTATTCCTCGAACTGTTTTTCGATAGGGCGCGTTTTCTGACAGAATATTATTCCATTTCAAATCCAATATTTATTTCCAGGTATTCTACGACCTAGTCCGCCAGATAAATCGCCGCTATCCGGAATCCGGTCGCCGTCAGGGACAATCGAATAAGCAGTGTTGCTCGTGTGTTATCATGTGATTCTCTCCTTCTCTTCTCCATCAATTAATTCAATATTTATATACATACGCATATTTATATATTCATTTATCTGCACAACATGTTAAAAATAATTTATATACTATTCACCTTCTTTTTGAAATTCACACAAGGTATTCCCCCTTCTTTTCCGTTGAATTTGCTTTCCTTCCCCAAAATCATCAAAATCATAATAATCAACCCATTTTCTTCTTCTGGTCCCTAGAAATTCTGGAAATCCTTTTTTTTAAATCTAAAACTTCCAATTTGAAAAGTATTATTTTCTCTCCGTCTCCTCTCTCTCTCTCTCTCTCTCTCTCCTCGTCTCTCACAGCTTCTAAATGACACTACATTTTACTGAACATTTCCCCTTTAAGGCTTTCATTTCGGCCGACCAAGTTTTTGAATTTGCGTTTCAAATGCGTTGCGTACGCAAACTCTAAATTCATCGACTTAACCGACCACCGACGGAATTTCTGAATTTGCGCGTCAACATGCTAAGAGTGTTTGCGTACGCAAACACCTTGACGCGCAAATGCACAAATTCGATGAGCGGTATGCCGATGAAATGAAAGCCTAATTTCCCCTTTAACCAGTGTGCCTTCCTCTTCTTATTCTCGAATTTTCTCGAAACTTCCAGTTTTTTCCCAAAAAAATTTTTTTACGAAAAATCCCCCACGAATGAGGCATATCCCTCTCACTCTGTCCCTTGAACCACACATTTCGTTTATTTATTTTTTCCCTTTTAATTAATTTTTATATTTTCCCCTTCCTGAACCATAACTTATCTCCTCCTTATATTCCAGTCCCTTCCCCACCCCAACCCTCAAATTCTTGCTTCGACGTTTTTTTTTGAAAATTTAATAAATTTGATCAATGAGACGTTGATTTGAGTGTGTCTGATTCGATATAGCGAATCAATCACAAGGAACGCCCCGCCCCAAAAAAGTCAAAAAAAAAATAAACAACACTGATTTCGAAAAACTGGTTGTGGGCGGAGTCTAAAAGTTTACTTCAAAAGGGTACACAATTTTCAATTTGGAATCATCAAATAGAAACAAATTTTCCTATTTTCTAAACGAAAAAATGTCTAGAACTTTCCTCATTTTTGCCCTTCTTGCCTGTATTTTGGTTATTGAAGCATATGTGAGTTTTTTAGTTTTTTTTTTTGGGATTTGAATTTTTTTGAAATTCTAGAAAGTTCCAACCGACGCAGCGACTCAGCTGAAGTTGAAGAAGAGAGGACAGGCTTGTATGAAACGAATTCTGCCAAAGAACGGACCATCGAAGGCGCTGCAAAAGGAGTTGGCGGTGAGTAGGAGGGCTTACTGTAGAAGAGGGTTACTGTAGAATTTGAATAAATGAAGTTCTGTAATTTGAAAGTAACGGCGTTTGCAGAAACTACTGTAGCTTACTGTCAAATCCAGTAAAAATTTGGAAAAAAGCGTCAGTGTGTACTGTAGATTTCGCAAACACCGTGACGACAAAATGCAGACAAAAAAAATTAAACTTCTAACCAAATGAAAACGAACATCCTGAACTAAAAAATTTCAGAAATGTTTATCGCTTTTTTCTGAATTCGAACGAATTTTCAAAAAATTAGATTCTAGTTTCTGCAAACACTGTGACGCCACAATGCAGACAAGCACAATAGTTTTATTTATATGGTATGAAAAAGCGTAACTGTGAAACGCCAGTGGCGTCGCTGAAAGTCTCACAACGTACCGTAACCTGAAAATTTTCTGTATTTTTTTCTCGATTTTTTACTGAAACTTCTAGGAGAATTGTCGAAAATCAGCTAAATCGGAAAAAAGTGTAATCGTTTGGTGACGGTAGAAGGTCCCAAAACGCAAACTACCGTAACCTGAAAACACCAAAATTTCGAAAAAATTTTCTTCCAATTTTTTCTCGATTTTTTTTCTTCTTGATAACTTATGAACGGCGAAACTGTTGTATTTTCCGTCTAGTTAAGCGGAAGGAACAGTAAAATTTTTTCTAACCAGAAAAAAATTTGCTAGGTTTGAAAATTTCGTTTTGTGACCTCTTCGACCACTCCAAATATATACTTGTCCGCATTTTGGCGTCGCCGTGTTTGCAGAAGCTACTGAGAATGCATTAATAGAATAGTCTACCGTACTTTTTGAAAAGTCAAAATTTTGGAAATTATTTTCCGAAACTTTCCTCTTTCTCAATGTTCTCTAAAACTCTTGAATTCCACTCTTACCTAATTTGTCCATAGACTACATGAATTTTTCAAAAAATCCATCCACTTGTCTGCATTTTAGCGTCAACGTGTTTACGGAAACTACTGAGAATACATTCATAGAGCAGTCTACCGTACTCTTCGATAAGTCAAATTTTTGGAAATTTTTTCAAAACTTTCCTGTTTCTGAAAGTGCACTAAAAATCTTGAATTTCATTCAAACATATTCCAAAAATTGTTTCAACAACCCATAATTTTGTTTTCAGGTATGCTTCAAAGTGGACTGTGCAATGGCGATCATTCCAAAAGTCGAACGACAATTTCCTCATGAATTCCCAATTTTGAAGGGATGTATGGGATACTAAATCAACTGATTTTTTATCAACTTTATCTTATCTTTAAAACATCCGTTTTGTTGCCTGATAATAAGAAAAATAATAAAACAAGTTCTTCTTTTTTATTTGTTTTGAAGTTTTTTTTTTGAAAATTAGAGACAGAGCGACTACAAAAAATGTGTGTTTTGTGAAAGAACGAAGTGGGATGAACAGAAAGAAAAGAAAAATTATGGAACAGAAAAAATCTACCCGGGGGAAAAGAGGAAAAAAGGACTGAAATTGTAAGAAAAAAAAGAGAAAAAAGTGATTATAGTGGTGGTTCTTTGATAACTTTTCGACGCGACGTTGCCATTATCATTTGGGTTGGTTTCGCGAGATTCAAAGACTGAAATTCCAGATCGATCTCTTCGGATGGTGGACTCTCACGACCGAGCTTCATTCCCGACATTTTGATTGTGTAGCTGAAATTGCAATAAAATCAAATATTACTGAAAGAAGAGGTTTATATGAGAAATTGGAAACAGCAAAAAACTTGTAGATAAGTTTTCATAATTCGAATGAAAGACAGTAAATTAAAAAGTTAGTGGATTTTACAATTTACTGGTTCTAAAAAAATGAAATTTTGAAAAAAAAAGAATATGGAAAGAGGTATTTTGAAAACCTTTCTAAAAAGACATCGATTCCGCAATCCTAGAATCCTTTAGTTCGAATCTTTATATGCCTATTTATTTTCCAACAGTAGGAAAAAATTCTAGATTAATTCAAGTTAGCTTGAAATTCAAATTTTCAGACTTTCAATCAAAAACACCTTTTTAAAAAGCAAAAATTAGAACTTCCAGAAAGTTGCAAAATCAGAAAACTGCGAATTTTATATATTTGAGTTGCATCTGTGAACATCTTCACAGTAAAACAAATTGAGATGATATTGAATTTTGCAGTATTTTGAGAATTTTAAAGGTGTTAATTGAACAGTGAACATTCGAAACCTTGAGCAATTTAGAAAACTTCGAATGTTGTTCTAGATCTCTGTTGCAAGCGAAACTATCCAGATAGTGTTTCCTTCATATTTTTAGTTTCAAAATAATAAAATTATTCCCACTCACTTTGAGTGATCCATTATTTCTTTCTTTTTTTTCAGATTGCTGATTTACTCATTAATTCCAGAACACCCGTCTCACCTCAATGTATGATCCAAGTGAAACGGAAATTCAAATTTCGTTTTTCCCGTTTCCACATCAATTTCATGTTTGACAGTCTGATTGTTTCCCTCGTCTCGAATGTAAATGTTGTACTTCTGAAACACTCTCTTATTTCTCCCTTTATCTCTAATCATCTCTTTTCAAATACCGTATAAATGGGATTCTCAACTTCGACGAACACCGTCGAATTGATAACGATGGCAGTGAAATTGTCGATGACGTCGTTCTCGTCAAAAGAGATCAAATCGAAAGTGTAGACCTGAAAACAAAAGAGAAAACAATTTGTGATTTGTTGTTTTGTTCTGGTTGATAATCGGGAGGACAAGGACCAAATGACATAATCATACTGAATTTCGATGTGAAACAATGTGATTTGAAAATTAAAAAAAGGATGATGTGATGATCCAATCAGAGTTTTTCACCAAAGAAACAACATTTCAAAGATCATTGGAATACTTTTTGATGACGTGGTACTTTGAAAAAATATTGGAAGACATGGGTTTTTAGTCATTTTCGAAATTTTGAAGGCTGAAATTTCAACTTTGGTTTATCTGAAAAATTTAGACAAAAAGGACAAAATCAGTCAAACATATTCATATCTATCAGTACCGATTTCTCGAATTTCTGAAACAGAAGTATTGTAATTTTCATAAAAATTCAAGTCATTGAAATTTTTCAATTTTACCGAGAAACAATAAACATTAGAATTGAAAGTTCGCGACTTCTCCACAAAAAAGTAATTGTTCATCTTTAAGGAGGGAAAGAGATAACTTTCGTAGTTTTTCAGAGCAACACTGCATTTCTCAAGCTAACTTGGAAACTGCGACACTTTGAAACCAGTCATTTCAAAACCGCGGCAATGTAATTCAAAACAAATCCAAAACTCAATTTAACTTTTTTTTCGAACTTTTTTTGATTTTCAGAATGAGTTCTATCAGAAAAAGCATATTTGAAAACCCTAAAATTGTTTTCGTAGTCTGAAATTATAATATAGTCCATTCGCTTGTATTACTGCGGTTTCGAGGTGACGCGTGGCCCTTTTTGTGTAGCTTTCCATCCATCGACCGTCCAGACACCGTGTAGCTCCTAGTAGCTCGTAGAAAGAGAATTTCGACAAAATCTTTTGATACTAATCTCATATTCTAAAAACTTCTGAACCAAAGTCACATCCTCCTAGTGCTTTTATTTTTCTGTTTCAGCAAGGAAATTTACGATGAAAAATATTACAAAATATTACAATTTAGTTTACTCCACTCCTCCTCTAAAATTCACAACTTTTCAGAGACTTTTACAGATTTTCATACCGTAAAACCTGTAATATAATGGCCCCCTAATTGTCAACTTTGACAGTTGTTATCTCTGTTCCCGTAAGAGATATCACAAATGTTCAATGGGCAAAATGTTTATGATAACATGATAAACACATTTCAATTGGCAACATTCCGATATCTTTTACAAAAAACAAGAAAAACTGGCTGGAACTTGACAGTTATAGGCGCTTCTATTACAGGTTTTACGGTAGCTTGTGTATGTACAAACATTTTTCAAAATTAGTGCCAAACGACTAAACTGTTTTACTTTGAAAAAAAACGATTCAAAAATCATTAGAAAAGTTCAATGTACTTTTTAGAGTCTTTTAATAATAAAACATAAAAATTTGTATTCAAAATGCAAACCAACCTGTGTTTCTGGTCCTTCATGTCTCTCATTCGTAGCTGTCATTTTCATCTGATACCTTTCGTTTTCTTCCAGCCCATCGTCAATTCCAATCTCAACGCGACTAGTGTTTGAGCGATACACAAACTTCTGAAATTCTAAAAATATTTTTCTGAAAATTTTTTCATCTCTAACCTTCCACTCCTTCTCTTCTCCTCCATCAGCCTCTTCATCAACGTCTTCTTCTTTCTTAATATAAATCGTATAATTCAAAATGTGTCCATTTGGAAGACGTGGCTCCGCCCAGGTAATGTAAACTTTTGAGTCTTGAGCATGAAGTGAGGACAGAATTGGAGCAGTTTTTGGACCACCATTTGGAGTCGGAATCCAGATTGGAAACGTTTTTTCACCCTCTCCATATTCGTTTTCAGCCGAGATTCGCAGAGAAATATTCACGTTGAGGGGGATCTGAGAATGCAAAGCTTGATATGAATCTGGTCTAGTTCAGAGTATACAAAAACCGATTGATGAATCAATATTGAAGTAGATGACTGAGGAAAGAAAATAAAGCTCGGTCTACTTTTTCAAAATCGTGAGTTTGTGCTAAAACTTATATAAAGTTCACCATCTCTGACTTTTTAACCTCAGACTTTTTGAACTGCGTTTTTATTCGGTACCGCTAATTCCATTTTGGTATTCTATTTTTTTTTGTTCCTTAATCTTATTAATTGTATGAGAGCTAAAACTATTGGTTTTTTTACCCTATTTTCTCAAATAGAAATACTGACCTATCTCGGTTCTTTTAATAACTGTCTCGGTTTTTTTATAGATATCAAAAGTCTGTTAGCTGAAAAATGTTTATCATAACATCACCACCATTTCATCAGTTCACCGATTTTTGATATCTCTTATAGGAACCGACAAATAAGCTTTGAGAATGTTTTACTGATAAGGAAACTACTTCAAAGATGTTCGTGAAACCGTAAAATTTTGCTTTTATTGTTTTTTACTGGTATCAACGAAACATCTTTTCAACATTAAAAAATCGTTTTTTACCAGAACACGCTCTCCCACAGAACATTTCCGAACTGCAAATTAATTTTTGATTTCGGTTCTTTTGAGCTATAGAACTCCTAGAAATGTCAAAAACTGAAAGAGGAGATAGATTTTTTCTGTAAAAAACTTTCAAAATGACCATTTTTGACATTTTTTCTTCCGGAAAAGGAGCATACATGAATCTATAACCACTAATTAATTTTTTAAGAATCATTTGAATCATTTTGGAACTCCACAAAATCAGATAAAAAATTCTGAAATTATGGTTTTAGACCTGCAATTGTGATCGCGCCAAACTTTTTTTCTGTAGATCAAAAATTAACTTGCAGTTCGGATTGTTCTGTGGGAGAGCGTGCAGAATAGATTTGTCATTTGGTGAAAATTTTCAGATTTTTCTATTTTCCGAAACCATTCGGCGAAAAATTCTAATAGGTGTCCGTATTACAAAACGAATTCAAATTATTTTTACAGAAAAATGTTGTCAACGAAACAGAAAACATCGAAAACTCACATCTGGAATTCTGACAGGTGGTCCCGAAACTTTGGTCTTGTAGTTGGACAGATACAAATTGTATTCTAATTTCTCTCCATTCGGATTCTCAATTGGATTCCAATTGATATAAAGTGTCGAATCGTCTTCCTCCTCGAAACTCCAACTTATATTATTTGGGGCTTCTCCGGGTCCTGAAAAAGTTATTTTGGTTATTTTCATACTTTCAAAGGATCGGGCCGACTAAAACCAGAAGTTTCTTGGCTAAAAAAAGCATACTTGTAACGGGCCGGGCCGGGCTTTTCCCGGAATTTCGGAGGCCCGGCCCGGCGGGTCCGTTATTTCACTAGTTTCGAAATTTCAAAAAACACATAAGGGGGGACCCTTATGTGATTTTTTTTCGACCAAAAAATGTTTTTTCGAGTTTTTCGATCTTTTTTGATCAGAAAGACAAACAATCCGAAATACGAAAAAAAATGGAAAAAAATTATATTGAGAGCTCAAAATTTGGCTCAAAAATACAGAATTTTTGACACCGGGCCTTCCGGGCCGGGCCCGGGCCTTGAAAATTTCCTCAGGCCCGGCCCGTCCCGGAATTTTACAAGTATGAAAAAAAGTAAAGATCATCTAGAACATTTTTCCCTGTTTCATGTATTGAATAAATCTGCCAATTGCTTCGCCAATACCGCTTTGTGTGATACGCCACAACTTCATTATAAGAATTATTATATTTTGCAGTTATTTCAGAATATTTGAATTTATTGAAGGTAATTTTGAAGAAAGTCCGAAAAGCTGTGAGAAAAAGTAATTATGATAATTTTTGATACTTTTGAAACAGAAATGCATTGATTGAATAATTATTCCAAAAACTCACTTTTGATAATGATAACTTTGCTGATAGTGACATTTTCATATTTGTTACTAGCTCGACACACCACTGTCACATTTCTTCTCGAATTAATTTCTGGAGCCTTTGCTTCGAAATATTCCGAATTATCTGCTTCAACTTCTTCAAATTGGTGTTCCGGATCATTTCCAAATTGATAAAACAGTTCTGGTTTTGGTTTTCCGGTTCCCTTGCATCGAATCTCTACATTTTGATTGGGTTCAGCTTCGAATTCCAAAATGTTTGATGCCAGAATTTCAATTTTCAAAGGTTCATCTGGAAATTTTTGGTAATTTTTTCTATGAAGAGATTTTTAAAAAGTGTTTGATTGGGCTTTAAAGCGGAACTGTTGCAAAATGAACTCAACAAACTTTTTCTGCTTCATATTGATCATATTTTTTCGTGATGCTGTACTTATTAGTGATTGTTGCGGATTCGGGCCGACAAAAAAATCTTGAAATTTTGTTCATGTTTGCTCTTTGCAGAGTGTATACATCAAAGTGGCAAGATAGCCATGCATCGTGTGAAGACCAAAAACTGTACACCATCACGTCAGAATGCATTCAGTAACCGCAATAAATCTCCAAAAAGTCTCCGTTCTACCCTGCTTTACAGAAAAAAGTGTTGCAAGATGTATCGAAAATTTTTCTCTGTTTCATATTGATCATGTTATGTGGCATGATGTTGTATTTATTAGTAAACCCTGCTAAGCGTAAGGAACTCACACAAAACATCCGACAGACATGAAAAAGTGGTTGAAATGATTCCTGGCCCTCTGTCAGAAACCGCTTGAACCCGAATGAAATGATTAACCGATGGTCCAAATGCCTCTACATACGTCTCCAATTCAGCAGTTTCGAATTTGTTCCAATCCGATAAATCATCGTTTTCGTTTTCAGAATAGTAGACGATGTATTTCTGAAATCAAAATTGGCGATTTTTAGGCGTCTCCCCATTTTTGCAATCCCTTCTTGGAGGCCCTTCTATTAGAAGTGCCCTCATATATTGGAACATTCTAATACAGGTTTACGGTATTCAAGAAAGAAAATCTTGAAATTTTTGTATACACGTTCCCCAGATTCCATTTTCAAGTTTTTGAAAGAAATACTTCTCTGTATTATGCTGGTACGAAAAATTCTGGCCAAAGGTCCCAGAACGAAAACTACCGATGAATATATTTTTGTAATCAACCTTTTCTTAATTTTAACTGGTTCTTCTGTTGTTTCCCTCCACGAGAGTCGGAAAGCAACAATATTATAAGACAAAACAAATAAATTAACTGAATTTTTGGTTATGGTAGCTTTCGATTTGGGACCTTCAGATACCAGCATAATAATAGTCTAGTTACCATAATATCACCATTGGGAAGTGTTGATTCTTGCCATGTCACATTGATCTGGTTACGGTATGCTGTCAATTTGATATTCTCTGGAGGATTTCCGGGACCCAGAACACGAATTCGGACGGACTGAAATAACCAAATGAGTTTGTTATTTTATCAAGTTCTGCAGATAATCGCAATCTTATTTTGACTAATTGCAACAGTAAAATTTCAGAGCAAATATGAGAAGAAAAAAAAACAAAACCATCAATCAAGTGCACTGCCGAACCAATTTATAGACAACTTGAATCAGAGTTTTAATAAAATCCAAAAACTCACTGCCGTCGAATTTCCCTCATTGTTATATGCCAAACAAGTGAGCTCTCCGGATTCTCGAATACCATTTCGGATGATTTTTGATCTGAAAATTTTGATTAGAGAAAATAAATTACTAGATGCGAAAATTGAATTCCTAAAAGTTTTGAAAAGTACATTTTTTCCTGTTTCATCTAAATCAATTAAGGATACTTAGAGGAAGGATTTTAATGCCTTTTTAAACACAATTCAACAAGTTCTACACTATAACTTCTAGTTGTTTTACAACTACCAACTTGAGAAGCTGAAACCATATTCCAAAAAAATTGCAATCAACACGCTCTCCCACAGAACATTTCCGAACTGCAAATTAATTTTTGATCTACAGAAAAAAAAGTTTGGCGCGATCACAATTGCAGGTCTAAAACCAAAATTTCAGAATTTTTTATCTGATTTTGTGGAGTTCCAAGATGATTCAAATGATTCTTTAAAAATTAATTAGTGGTTATCAAAAATGGTCATTTTTGAAAGTTTTTTACAGAAAAAATCTATCTCCTCTTTCAGTTTTTGACATTTCTAGGAGTTCTACTGTCTATTCAATAAAACGTGGGCGCGCCGCAGGTTGCAAAGTGACACGCCCCTTT